TGCAGGGCTCGTTTCCGGGCGTGTACAACAAAGGGCTGGAAACTGGGAAAAAAAAAAAAAAAAAAGGAGAGCCTTGCTCAGCTTGCGTGCTGCGGCGAACTTTGTGAGGGATGCGGGGCTAGCTTCCAGGCATGACAATAATCATAACTCCTTTTTCATAAATAAAAAAACAAAGAAAAGAAAGAAAGAAAAACACAAAAAAAAGCAAAAAAATAAAATAATAATATATATATATAAGACGTTATGAAAGCAGAGAAGTGGTGGCTGCAAATGATTGAGACACAGATGACTGAGAATGGGCCGCGGCGCACCACTCAGCACAAATGAAAATGACAAAGGCTATGGAAAATGTACCTTTCCACATTCTAGTGGAAGATGCATGCTCCATTTTGCACGTTTGGTGAGTTGCGCCACAAGGCCCAATGACTTAGTAAGGCAGAGTACCAGAGAGTGGCAGGGCACCTCCCTATCCGTTACAGACTGTGTCTTGAACAGAGGGCCCACAGCCTTGAGCACAGCTGCACAGGGCTCAGACTTGCGGGATTGCTGACAGGAATGTTGGCCTCATGTGCTTGCTTTTTTTGTGTGTGTGTCCGATTTGCAAGGAATCTGCACGATGGAGAAACGCAGACTACACTGGTTAAGAAAAAAAAAAAATTGAAAAAAAAAAGAAGAAACTCAGACCACACAGCACCAGGAACTCTCAGTGGACCAACAGGCAGCAGAATTGACAGAGGAAGGATCATATGAGGGCTCTCCTGGATGCATCAGAGGAAGGATCACATGAGGGCTTTCCTGGATGTATCTGACCGCAATTACGACAATGAAGGGTGTATCTGACTGCAATTACAGCCCGAGCTTAGTCCAAAATGCGCTGCTGTGAGTATGCCTAAAGAAATGATCGCACTGAGGCTTCGCAGAGAATTTTGGGGCATTACCTGACCTCTTATCATCAACAAGTGCTGTGCAGACCCCACCTCATGCACAAGGTAAGAGAATCACTTGAACAACGGACCAAAGCCAAAGGGGTGGCGTGCAGAGGTAGACCTTCAGTGGTATGGGGTGTAGGAACAGGGAGGAGGTTGAGTACCGATCTGGCAGCCTGGTACAGGCTGAAGAGGTTCTTCCTCACTCTTGCAACTCAGTAGATCTCAGACAATCTCAAATGATTCTGTACAAGGGACGCTGGACGCGTTTTCAGCAGGTGCTGCTCCCCACCTATAGACGGAGCCTCCCCGAGGGTGATGGAAGTGGCTGCTCTTATCAGGACTTTCAGCACCCACACGGGTGTTAAAAAAAACAAGGCCAAAGGGGTGGGGTGGTTTGGGTGGGTGTTGATGCTGAATAATTCCGTATTGTCTAGAATATGGTATGAACACGCTATTGGTTAACTTCCAGGCAGGATTACAAGCAGCTTAAATCACCAGTACCTTTCCCCGCTTGAAATCTAAGACGTGCCGGGCCACGTGCTAACCAAACCGGAGAGGCCCGCCGTCGGCCCACTTTTCGTTTCAGGCCTTCGACACCACCTGCGGCCGACATATGGGAAAGGTACTGGTGGTTTTATCTTTGGAATGAGGAGGTGACTGATGGATGTTTCCTTTTGTTTTTTTGAGGTAAGTACGTTCATGTCACCTTTGAGTATTGGATTGGCAAAAAAAACATGCGTCGGCAAAGAAAATCGTGCAGAGTTCGAAAAGGCGACGGAAGTACCCACGGCGATGGTGTCAGAATGGGTGTCAAATTTACAGGAGTCTGTCATGGTGTCAGAGGATAAAACAAAGAAAAGAAAAGAAATGCCCAACGAATACTTTTGGACCGAAATCGCTCATTTCGAATTGGCACGTGGTTTCTTTGTCGGCGCGAGTTTTTTTTTCCTATTCCTTCATGCATTATCCATTTCCTCACTTGGTTGTAAATCGCCACTTTCATCTTTGTGTTTTCAAGCCTGGGAGTGAGATTCTCTCACTCTCCCCCCATGTTTTGTCCATTTTCGCACTTGGTTGTAAATCGTTATATCAACTTACATGTATTTTTGCTCATTCTAGTGTTGAGAGCTCCATTCCTTCATGCATTGTCCATTCCTCACTTGGTTGTAAATCGTCACTTTCACCTTTGTGTTTTCAAGCTTGGGAGTGATATTTTCTCACTCTCTCTCCATGTTTTGTCAATTTTTCCACTTGGTTGTAAATTGCTACTTGTATCTTTGCTCATTCTAGTGTTGAGAGCTTCATTCCTTCATGCATTGTCCATTTTCTCACTTGGTTGTTAATTGTCACTTTCATCGTTGTGTTTTCGAGCTTGGGGGTGAGATTCTCTCACTCTCCCTCCATGTTTTGTCAATTTTCTCACTTGGTTGTAAATCGCTACTTGTATCTTTGCTCATTCTAGTGTTGAGAACTTCATTCCTTCATGCATTGCCCATTTCTTCACTTGGTTGTAAATCGTCATTTCACCTTTGTGTTTTCAAGCTTGGGAGTGAGATTCTCTCACTCTCTTTCCATGTTTTGTCCATTTTATCTACTTGGTTATAAATCGCTACATGTATCTTTGCTCATTCTAGTGTTGAGAGTTTCTTTCCTTCATGCATGGTTCATTTCCTCACTTGGTTGTAAATCGTCATTTTCACTTTTGTGTTTTCAAGCTGGGGAGTGGGATTCTCCAACTCCCTCTCCATGCTTTTTCCATTTTTCCACTTGGCTGTAAATCGTTACTTGTATCTTTGTTCATTCGAGTGTTGAGTGGATCATTCCTTCATGCGTTGTCCATTTCCTCACTTGGTAGTAAATCGCCACTTGTGTCTTTGTGTTCTCAAGCTTAGGAGTGAGACTCTCTCACTTTCCCTCTATGGTTTGTCAATTTTTTCACTTGGTTGTATATCGCTACTTGTACCTTTGCTCACTCTAGTGTCGAGAGTTTTTTTTCCTTCATGCATTGTTCATTCCCCCACTTGGATGTAAATCGCCACTTTCACCTTTGTGTTTTTCATCTTGGGAGTGAGATTCTCTCACTCTTTCTCCATGTTTTGTCAATTTTATCACTTGGCTGTGAATCACAACTTGTATCTTTGCTTTTTCTAGTGTTGAGAGCTTCTTTCCTTCATGCATTGTCTATGTCCTCACTTGGTTATAAATCGCCACTTTCACCATTGTATTTTCAAGCTTGGGAGTGAGATTCACTCTCTCTCCATGTTTTGTTCATTCCCCTACCCGGTTGTAAATCACCATGCATATCTTTGCTCTTTATAGTGTTGAGGGCATATTTCCTTCATGCATTATCCGTTTTCTCACGTGGATGAAAATCGTGACTTTGGTCCTTGACTACGTTAGTCATATTTGAATGTTTTCTCGTCAATTCTCCACTGAATGATGCTTCGCCGCGCTCACTGATGTCCCCACCAGTCATATGTACATGGTAGGGTTGTATATTTGTAACAGTTCACCTGCCCCGTGTTCTATTTGAACACCACTTTACCCCTCTGTGCTTTGTTTGAACTTCACTTCGCCTCCCCCGTGCTTTATTTGAACACGAGGAATGAGCGTAGATAAAGGACGGTGACTGTTGTTGCAGCTGTTGATAATGATAAAGGGACTGCTGCTACTACTGCTAATGGCCGACCAAGCATTTGGTTGTTGCTACCACTGAGAACCGTTGTTCGGGATCCCGACCAAGCGGTGGTAAAAAAAACGGCCAACTAACCGGCGCGACTCGGGGGTGCCGAAAACCAACCCCGTCAAAAGAAGGGATATGGGGGCTGAGACTTGACAGACCCCATATCCTAGGCATAGGTAGATGGCCTGCAAAGTCCCCAGGCCATCTAAACCCATTTTCCCACAAAAACGGAAAATGGACTTCGCCGAACTGTTCACTTAGAGCCTCGAGTGATGCCCAAAACAGGCAAGTAGGGGCAAATGGCAACGGAATCAAGCCCGGTTATAGGAGGGTCATCAGTATGGTGTATACAGAGGGTCTGTGAAGTTACAAGCCCATCTGACGTCGTTTAGGCCAGCAAATACAAATCTGAGTTTTTGGGCTCTTCCTCCTATAGTACATCGGCAAAAACAGCAATCTGAGAAATCTGAGTCTTTCGCAAGTCTGATTTTTTGCAAAGTCTGAGTGTCTGCTGCAAATCTGAATTTCGCAAGTCTGAGTTTTTTAGGATTCAAACATTGGGGTGACGCAGGGAGGGTGAGGCCGGAGACATAGCCCACCACCTTCGCACCTTCTCCCCCCTCCACCTCCATTACTCATCCACCATAGCCAACCACCTTCACACCTTTTTCCTCATCCACCTCCTTCACCCATCCACCATAGCCAACCATCTTCACACCTTCTTCCTCTTCCACCTCCTTCTCCCATTCACCATACCAAACCACCTTCACACCTTCTTCCTCCTCCACCTCCTTCACCCATCCACTATAGTCAGGCACCTTCATACCTCCTTCCTCCTCCCCCTCCACCCGTCCACCATAGCCTTCACACCTTCTTCCTCCTACACATCCTTCACCCATCCACCTTAGCCAACCACCTTCACAACTTCTTCCTCCCCCACCTTCTTCACCCATACACCATAGCCAACCACCTTCACACCCTCTTCCTCCACCTCCTTCACCCATCCACTATGGCCAACCACCTTCACACCCTCTTCCTCCTCCACCTCCTTCACTCATCCACCATAGCCAGCCACCTTCACACCTTTTGCTTCCTCCACCTCCTTCACCCATCCACCATAGCCAACCACCTTCACGCCTTCTTCCTACTCCACCTCCTTCAGCCATCCCCCATAGCCAGCCACCTTCACACCTTCTTCCCCCTCCACCTCCTTCACCCTTCCACCATAGCCAACCACCTTCACCCCTTCTTCCTCCTCCACCTCCTTCACCCATTCGCTATAACCAACCACCTTCACACCTTCTTCCTCCTCCACCTCCTTCACCCATCCACCATAGCCAACCACCTTCACACCTTCTTCCTCCTCCACCTCCTTCACCCGTCCACCATAGCCAACCACCTTCACACCTTCTTACTCCTCCACCTCCTTCACCCATCCTCCATATCCAACCACCTTCACACCTTCTTCTTCCTCCACCTCCTTCGCCCATCCACCATAGCCAACTACCTTCACACCTTCTTCCTCCTCCACCTCCTTCTCCCATCCACCATAGCCAACCACCTTCACACCTTCTTCCTCCTCCACCTCTTTCACCCATCCGCCATAGCTAACCACCTTCACACCTTCCTCCTCCACCTCCGTCACACATCCGCCATAGCCAACCACCTTCACACCTTCTCCCTCCTCCACCTCCTTCACCCATCCACCATAGCCATCCACCTTCACACCCTCTTTCTCTCTCACCTCCTTCACCCATTCACCATAGCCATCCACCTTCACACCCTCTTTCTCTCCCACCTCCTTCACGCATCCACCATAGCCAACCACCTTCACACCATCTTCCTCCTCTGCCCCCTTCATCCATCCACCATAACCAACTACCTCATGCATCCTTCATCACCCACCTCAACCGCCAACCAACACCATGATCAACGAAATATGGGGTCGCAGAACGTAGGAGGGGTCTTAGCTAAGGACGGGAGGACGGCAAGGGGATAAGTCTTGATTAGGAAGTAAGGAGGTATTCTCTCTCTCTCTCTCTCTCTCTCTCTCTCTCTCTCTCTCTCTCTCTCTCTCTCTCTCTCTCTCTCTCTCGCTCTCTCTCTCACTCGTTCGCCGACTCCCCTTCGTCTGCCCCACCCATACTCTAAGCCTAGTCTTGACTTTTCACTCCCTTTTCTTTTTTTGCAAGCGACTAACTCTTTCCCGCCTACTTATCACATGCCAGGGGACGAATGGTGAAAGAACTTGGGCCTCACTTGGTGGAAAGAGAGGGCACAGGGAGGGTTGTCGGTCCCTTGCGCTACCAAGAAGGGAAAGTGTTTAAGGATTGGGAAGAGTGAGAGCACGAGGGACTCGAGGATTCATAAGGTATTGAGGTCTGACAAGGACTCGAGGTTAGAAAAGACTCGTTGAAGGAAAGAAAGAGAGGTCAGTGGACTCGACCAACACCCCCACTGCATGAGAATGACAAAAGGATGGCTTGGATATTGTAAAGAAAACAAACAAGTAAGCAACCAAGAGAAAAAAAAAATAAGCATGAGGGAGGGATTATTTGTTGACCTCGAATGAGGGTTGTGCTTGTGTATATTGCATTGAGTGTGCAGGTGCATAGCCCTTAAGATGCCTTCAGTTGGATAGCGCTTGGATGGGTCGGGCGACAAAAAGGGGACGAAAGCCAAATGGGTTGTGAATGTAACCCTCCCCCATGGATAAATCTTTGGGCATGTCCTTGAACAAAAAATTGTATGAATGATTGTGGTCTGCAAAAAACGTCCATAACGCTACCACATCGCATTAGTATGTGGGTTGGACCACGAAATGACTAAGGGGTGTATAGACCAGCAATGAAAGGTGATGCACGGGACATGAATAATGTATGAGGTAGCGGATGTCAGCGCATAGATCGGCTAGAGGACCTAGTGGAGGGCGCCCTAGGGAGGGGATAGGGGCCGACGTAACTTAGTCCACGACCCTAAGCCAAGGTGAACTCCTCTACCTCAATGATGTCACTAAGGTTTTGCACTTAGTGAATGGATATGTGACCCAAGGAGGACGCTTGGCCTACGCATACAATAAGAAAAGTTCTCAGAGGACCCTCTGGACTGCTTGAGTATTGAAAAGAACAATTGTCTATGAACATAACAGAGTATTGAGGAAAGGACGTTGGCGAAAGATCAGTGAGACTACCCACCTAGCGAGAAAGTTGAGCTACATCCCCCAATGTTAAAGCTCTCTTGCTCCTTGGTCCACCCCCATCCATCTCAAAGCACTAGGTGGGGGTGACCCTGTGACGAATGGCTCCGCGCCTTGAGCATGAGCGCGGGCGGAAACGATCCAACTGGGATTCGTAGAGGGGTCGACTCATGGTCGAAAGTCTAACCGGGTGGGTCCCTATAGCGGTCCACAAGACCAAAAGTTAAAACAAAAAGGATGAATGTCCAGAGAGTTTTCCGGGTGGTATGTATGTGTGTATGCATGTATGTGTGAGTGTGTGAGTTAATATATCAATATGTCCAACAATCGGTCTGCTTCATTCTCTCCCTCAATCCCATTCTTTAATGCAAGTTATACAACCTCCACAAATTTTTCCTAAGTGTTATTATTCATATGCATTATGAAAAATGTTCCATCAACTAATAAAAGTACAACGAATAATATATAAGATTCTTTCAATATAAACACCGTAAACTCAAATTTGTGCACAAGCAGACCATCCATGTTGTTGGTGAAATCCTCAGTAAACATTAAAGCGCTACAAACCGTGAACGAACAGCGTGGCTAAAAATGCACGTGTTATAATAGTAACTCACATAATAAACATGCCACATCGTCATGTGCACCGCAAACGAAAATGGACGATAACTGAAGGTCTATGAAACACCCACGGACGCGTCCACGGGGCCGAGCTCGGAGGGGGGCCGTGATCACGGCCGTTGTGGCTCCGACCGCGACTTTCAGGGATTTTTTTAGAATTAAAAAAAATCTCAAAAACAAAAAAAAAAATATGGGGTTGTAGATCTTTTCGAGATCTAAATTTAGTAATTTTTTATTTTATTTTTTGGCTTCGTCTTCGAATTTTAAAAATTCAAAAACTAATTTTCCTGATGCAAAAGTTTTTTTTTTCATTTTTTTTCAAGAAAATATTATGAAACTTATCTGTTTTTTTATTTTAAATTCAGTAATGTTTTTGGATATGACCCCAAGGCAAACGTTGTTTAGTATATTTTTTTGCATAACATAGTTTTTTTTCAAAAGTTTTTGATTTTGTTTTTTGTTTTTCCATGGCCGAGAACCGCGGCCTAGGCCACGCATGTCCGCCGCCGGGGGGATTCATAGCTGAAGGTGCAAAAAACGATGGACAGTGCACCTAGCAACAACAAACTTGACAGAGCAAGAGATGAAGGCACCCACGCGATTGCGAGTGAAACTCGGGAATGAAGACATCATAACAAGCTCGTACAATGAAGACACGAGAGAAGAACTAACGCTGACAGTTAATGATTTCAGCCTGCTTATGATCGAAAAGAAATGGTTGAACGATAACATAGTTAGATTTTATCTTAACCTCATCCGACTAGACAATGAGTGTCGTATGAATCACTTAGAGTCCAAGAACGATAATGTAGACAGAAATGGAAAACTTGAAGGTCGCATCCCTATAACAACAATTCTCAGTTCATTCTTTTTCGCCAGACTATTCGATAGCAATATGAAGTTCCTATATGATAAAGTTCGTAAATGGTTGACGCAGGTTGTCATTAGCAACATGAACTTGATTATCGCGCCTTTCCACGTCGCACAAAACCAACATTCGACACTCGTAGTAGCATATTTGAGGCGTAGTAAATTCGAGTACTACGACTCGCTGACACCGGATGTCGAATTTGCAAAAAAGGTGACGGGGGGGTTGCAAAGCTTTTATACATGAGATTGAAGGAACAAGGTAAAGAGATCGACACCAAACTGTTCAACCATACATGGGTAGTGGAAGGCATCTCGAAGCAGCGTGACTTGAACGAGTGTGGTGTGTTTATGCTCGCATATGCATCGTTGTTGGCTAGAGGTTGTCAGTCACTATTCAACTTCTCATCAAATGACATTAAGAAGCTACGATGCCGAATTGCATTCGATGTAGTTGTTGTGGAGTAGATTAATAGCATAGCATGCATTAATGCGTCTGTTAGAATGATTGTTGAAGTATATGAGACAATCATGTCGTGACGAGAAATAGAGAGGACGTACATACAAAAGATCAGCTCACAAGAGAGGTTGTCCTTGTGAACTTAATCATTTAACCTAAACCCTAACCCCTAACCCCTTACCCCTTACCTCTTGCCCCCTTTACTCCTTACCCCTTACCTCTTACCCCTTACCCCTTACCCCTTACCCCTTACCTTTTGCCCCCCTTACCCCTTACCCCTTACCCCTTACCCCTTACCTCCTACCCCTTATGCCTTACCTCTTGCCCCCTTACCCCTTACCCCTTACCTCCTACCCCTTACCCCTTACCACGTGACAATTTGCTAAAAAAACACGACCGAAAAGGGGAAAAAAAAAAGTTTTCATTTCGTTCAAAAAATAAAAAATATCCGTTCTTACGAAATCGTAGTTGACTATCAAGTGTGAAACAGAGAGCAGGTATATCTTTTGTTTTTCTTTTCTTTTCGTTTCGTTTCATTTTTTTTTTTTTTTATGTTTTTCATAAGTACACAAAAAAAAGGGGTCGGCCACCCCACATAAAGACCGGGTTTGTGAGCTTTACCTAGTGTTATGCTTTTTACGAGACCCAATGGGACCTGAAATCGAAGTACCACACAACTCAAAGTTGTGATTCCACTTCCAGGGCTTAAACCCTAAACTCTAGTTGCTCCTTTCTTAGCCCTACTTGCCCTACCTCTACCACTCTGCTTTCTTGCTTTATCTTTGTGTACTCCTCTCCGCTGTCACAACGGTTTAGTGACCACCTATAAGCCTAAACTTAAAGTAACACACATAACCACCGCTACAATGCTACTTTTTTGCGTTGAACCTTAGACCCTAGTTATTCCCATTATAACCCACTTCCTACTTGTACCACACTACTTTTTTTTTCTAGCGTTGTGTACTCATCTGTGTTGTAGCCCTAGTTAAGCCTATCTTAATCCCTTACATTCCTTACCTCTAACCACAATCATACTTGTTTTTACTAGCCTTGCGTACTCCGCTCAGTGATTGCAACTGTCAAATATGGACATAGTATCCAAAAGGCTATCTTTTCGAAACTAATAATTTTTATCGTAACCTACATCATGGTTCTCTTAAACTGGCGTCCATGCTATACCATGCCTAGGTTAACATATTGTGTTTGTAGCGGTACCGCTGCGGTCCGACAGTGAGGCCGGATCAGTCTCGGGCCATCGACCTGACCCTGGTCCGGTACCAGGTTATTCCGGACCTGGACCTAGGCCAATATATCACTTTGGCCTTCTAGGCCCAGGTCGGCAGGTTGGTTCAGTCATTCTTTGTTTGTTCATTCGTTCATTCGGTCGGACTGGACCTTCACTCAACTGCTGCTTCTCGTGTGTGTCCATCGCTTCCCTCTCTCTCTCACCATCTCCGCACATACCCTCTTGCACATGCGTCACATTGGTATCATAGAAGAGTCTCAAACCTCCTTCTCTCCCTCCCTCTCCCACTATCCCAACGCCACTAATAACTATCTTCAAGTTTGCTCTTGACGTTGCACCTGGTCCGTCAATGTGACCAGGTACGTTCTTCATCAAGTTGACACCTTTCTCCTCGGTCCCCTCTACTACAGTTGCTGCTGTCTCCTATAGGCTGTGACGCCAACCTGTCGCCGCTTGTGCTCCGGCTCGACCTTCATCTATCACTACTACTGATTGTCAGGCCCCACGAAACGCCTGGATTGCTCTATCTTGGTGGTATGTTGCTGACGGTGTTGTGAGAAGTTCATCAAACCTTATCATTCAGAGGAAGGAGAAGTCGTAACAAGTTTCCGTAACTCAACCTGCGGAAGCATCATTGGCACGTGGACGACCGATCGTCGACCCCCGACACGTCAGTCATCCTTCCCCCTTCCCCGCTCCCCTCGACTCTCTCCTTCCCCACCTGGGT